CATATTAATCATGCTGTAAAGTTTAAATGATGAGACTTTGTGTCATCCAGTACATCAAGGAAGCCAATTGATGCATCAAAGGCGCTTCCACCCCAGGCAACTTTTCGAGGGCCATACATAAACACTGGTTCGCGTGATGTTGGACCAGATCATCCGACCTACCCAAAGAAATGATTCTTTGTCATTGAATAGGCAGTTGTTGCAGTAAGTGAGCTCATTCTCCTTTGTGTACTTTCTGAATTAAACACACTTGATTTTCATTACTCCTTGGGACTGATGGAAATGTCTATGAAGGCTGAGTTAGAATCTTTGCTTGGTTTTGCCAGAGCTAGATGAGCAATGCTTGCAAATTATACTCTCTTAAAAGGGACAACTAGATGAGCATTGCTTGCGAATTTCACTCTCTTAAAAGGGACAAGTGGATATGATAATGTTGTTTTGTAACAACTTCAGTGACAATACATGACATTTGACTGTCAGTATGTTCCTGTTTGTTGGAGTCTAATAACCCTATTGAACTAAGTTTCCTACATCTATGTTGCTGGCCTAAAAAGAAAAAAAATACATGTTTCTTAGTCTTACCATGATCTAATAACCCTTGACAATCAGTCATTAAGGTCTTATAATCAGTGAGTACTGGGTATCAATTCAGCAAAACTCTTGCTTGTTATTTGCTTAATACTTAATAGTTTTGCAAGATAGGTGAAAATTCAACTACCAATCAACAAGCAAGCCATTAACAATATCGATCCAATACTATATTGGGTAACTCATGGAAGTGGTACACTCCTTCTGCCCCCTAGTGCATTTCCAATGGAATTATCTATTAAGATCTCAGCAGTGACTTGAATGAGGTCCACTTGTCTACTGGCGCCTATGCACCCATCATATCTGCTAGAATCATCCGAGATATCCTAGGAAACTGGCACACTTCCTCTACCAAAACTCCCATATCGGTACCTCTTTTATTGAACTGTTTTTGAGCCCTTATACTTCATCCATTCATCATTTTCGCATAATTCATCTGAAACAACCTAGAAATGATCATTTTCTCGAACTCAGGTTCATTATATGACTTAGGCCTCCTTTCCTCAAAAGAATTTATATTGAGTTTGATTTTGTTAATGGAATTGACATCTATTGTCACAATACACATTGGAATTTCACTCAATTATATTAGAGAGCACTATATTGATATCTTTTCCTTTTGCCAACTTTGTGTTCTATCCTTACCAAAACAAAAGAAAAATGGCAAAATGGTAGAAGTTTAAAACTACAGTTCTTTGCAAACAGAAACAATGCAAATTGCCAAGGAAAAAAAAAAATCAACAGCTTCTCTGCTTGTTATTACAGGTTTCAATATGGATTATACAATAAGAGATAGTTATCCTTTTCAAAAATTTAATAATCAAAGTCAGAGATATAATCATTCACAAGGTCTCAACCTCCTTGGTGCAACTTACTGATTTCCACTCCACAGATCGAAAATTTAAAGATAAGATGTTTTGTGCATCATGGCTGTACGTTTCATATTCTTTTTTATCACAAAAGTGATACCAAATATAGATCTCAAGTTTCGAGATCATCTTTGTGGCCTAATGGCTACCTCTATGTTGTAAAGAATTTCTCATGCAAAACTTCACAGGTGTGGGGTTCAAGTTCCACCCTTAACATTCAAAAGAAAAAAAAAAAAAAAAAAAAAATACTACATCGTTTTTAAAATTTTTAATCCAAAAAAAAATGTGATACCAAATAGATCTCAAGTTTCAAATGAGACTAGAAGAATATATATACCTGTCCTATAGTTGAGGAGTCTGCCAAGGAAAACACTGCAATCCCCGCTGCTCTCAACATCCAAGAAGCTCATATTGTGGCAATACAACAAGCAGCATGTCTCAAGATCATAAATAGAAAATGACTCCTTCAATCAAGACTAAAATGTAGCCAAACCTGTACATTGGTCCATTGCATTTCTACAACCGAACTTCAAAAGGTCTCTCATCCCAAACATCTGATGGCAAAAAGATAAAACGCACAAACCCACTAACTACAAACGTCCTTCCAATGATAAAGTTTTCAATCCACATTGTAGATACCAGTAGGTTTCTGTAAAGAGTTATGATCCCTTGAGTGGTTATATCATCTTGCAGACTTAGATTATTAAATCTCATTCAAACCTGACGTTACTTACTGTGTGCATGTTGAGTTGAGGCCTAGACAACTATATGTTTAGTGTGTGCATGTGAAGGGATAGATTTTCTGTAAACTTAAATACAAAGAAAATTCAGTCCACCTCAAGTATTCTCATGTGAATGCAGAGAGTGAAAAAATAGTACCTACCTAGAAGCTTGATGAAGAAATCTGATCCAACCCAAGTAGAAGAAAATTGCAACTTCAGTGAAATTTCTCTGAAACACCCTTCAGTTTGTCTTCTTTAATCCCCTGAAATCATCAACAGCGACACTTGAAAAAGTAGATCTCTTTTCGGCCAAAAAGAGAACAAAAAACAAAAGTAGATCTCTGCATTGATTTGGGGAATGTTAAAACTCCAATTGGTCAGACAGCAAATTTACAATGTGTGTGAATTTCTGAATTGGTTCTGAAAATTAAAAGCCCTAATCTGTCAAATGTATCCGATTGTTTGCATCAACTTCCAAAATACGACACCCCAAAATTATATGAATAAACCCCCGAAAATATTGAAAGATAAAATTGAAAACCAATTGCGAAGACAAACAAAACTTTACCCCTTACGCCGACTGACAGGGACGGACGGCGTAGGCTTCCAAACGGACGGCTGCTTCCAACACCAGACGGCCAGAGGTTTGAGAGAGATTTTTGACCGTTAGTGTTTTTTTTTTTTTTTTTTCCTAACAAATTCTCTTCGGCACTTATTTTTTTTATTTCTTTATTTATAAAATTTAAATTTTATTTAAGGGAAATGAAAAAAAAAAAAATCATTCGTTGACCATTACTGTTTTTTTTGTTTGAGATAAGGATAAATTTAAAAATGAGAATTTAAACTAAATATCTAAGGTTGACATACATCTTTATAAAAATATAAAAAAAAAATAATTTAAAGTAAATTTTTTTATTTTTTAATATAATTTTATATGTTATTTAAATAATTAATTTTATATATTTATTTAAATTTTATAATATTAAATATATATTTATTAATATATAAAAATAATATAAAAAAATTATTTCAATAAAACCGCCCAAATCCTATAGCGGATTCGCCTTATAGAGCTTCACCTGGACTGCGGCTTTGTCTTCACACGTGCCGCTTTGCTTTCGTTACGTGTCGAACTTTTCTGATGGTGCTTTCCATTTTGAATAATAATAAATTTATTAAATTGATTAAAATTTGGGTTTAAAATTTAAAATTAATAATATATTATAAATTATATTATTTTAATTTTAAAAATATATATTTTATATTATTTAATATTAATTTTTTTATTTTTTAAATTTATAATATTATTTATATTAATTAATTTAATAATATAACTTTTCACATATCAATATTAAAATATATGTTAATTTTTATAAATTTTAATATAAATTAAGTAAAAAATATATTTATAAAGACATAAATTAAAAAAATATTTTTTTTAATACTATGTTTACAATTGGATAAAAACCTAATTTTAATAATTTATCTTAATAAATTTGTAAATTTTAACTTTTTAATTTATATTATGATATTTTTTATTTTTCATCTATACAAATTGACATAAATAATTCTTACCTAATGTGATGTTATAATGTTTGTCAATTGATAGTTAATATTTTGTTAACAATTAATTGATAGACTATTAATGGTGATAAGGACAAACTTAATAGAATATTAATAATTAACTGATAAACGTTATAAATTGATATTAAATAAGAGAATTATTTTTTTTTAATTTATAAAAATAAAAAATAAAAAATATTATAATATAAAATAAAATATTAAAATTTATAAATTTAGTAAGGTAAAGTGCACAACTACGTTTTTGCCCTCCAACCGCCCCCTCAAGCTCTGATATTTTTCTCTGATTGCGTGGCACATTTTTGACCTTAAAAAATCTAACACACAGTGTCTCCATCTCACGCGGTGATTGCGGCGAAGCAATGCAGGACGGTTCCGGGCTCACAATAGCAAACTTGCACGCAAGCTTCTGCCATATATACTAAGAATAGAAACGGATGTTTGCTTCTTTGATTCTACTAAATCAAGAAGAAGAAGAAGAAGAAGAAGAAGAAGATACGTAAACAACAATGTCAGTAATGAATTCCACTGCCATCACTCCTCAAGTAGCTGTGTCCTTCTCTGCAATCCCGCCTTCAAGTAATAATCTTTCCTTTTTGCTTCGGAGAAACTTTAATTTTAATTCGATAAAGCGGGTTTCATGGAGAAGAAGAAGCAGGAATTTCTCTCTTTTACGTGTGGCGGCTCCACCATCATCAGCTCCCTCTTCTGATGAGCAACGGTTGGAGCAAGAAGAGGGTCCTATTCAAGCGGGAGAGGTTGGTGAAGAACAGGAAGAGTATAGAGTTGGGGATGAGTTTGGTGAGGAGAGCTCTGGGTCTAAGTTTTCATGGAGGGATCATTGGTATCCGGTTTCTTTGGTTGAGGACTTGGACCCTCAACTGCCTACACCGTTCCAGCTTCTGGGTAGAGAATTGGTTCTTTGGTTTGACAAAAACAACAATGAGTGGGTTGCTTTTGATGATAAATGCCCACACAGGGTGGCGCCTCTATCTGTAAGTTTCTCAATTTTCTGCTTTGAGGCTATAGTTCACTCTAATTTTGCCTTTTTACCTCTTTTTTGATGTGATGAAGGAAAGGGGAAATAAAAAAAAAAAGAATGAATTTTAAGCATATCACTGTTTTCTTATTTGCATTATTGTTGATAAGAGAGAGAGGAAGGTCATAGAAAATGGGATCTCCATTAGGTGAGAATGTTATTCGTTCAGGAGTTTGAATTTTGATGGGTTTCCTGGAATTTGTAGGAAGGACGAATAGATGAAAATGGGCACTTGCAATGTTCATACCACGGATGGTCTTTTGATGGGTGTGGGTCCTGCACGCAGATCCCCCAAGCTTCAACTGAAGGTCCAGAAGCTCGTGCAGTTCAATCTCCTCGAGCATGTGCAACCAGGTTTCCTACGATGGTGTCTCAAGGCTTGCTCTTTGTTTGGCCTGATGAGAATGGTTGGGAAAGAGCTAAAGCTACAAAGCCCCTCATGTAAATAGATCCTTCCTTTTTCTTCATACTCACATTTCAGCTATGGATTGAATTGCCAAAGTTTTCATGGGCATATTTTGAAGATGGAATGTGATCTTACTGGTGATTGTTTAGGTTGCCTGATGACTTTGAAAAACCTGAGTTCTCAACTGTGACCATTCAGCGTGATCTGTTCTATGGCTATGATACGCTCATGGAGAATGTCTCGGATCCTTCCCACATTGATTTTGCTCATCACAAGGTAATTTTTAGTTGCTTCAACAAAGTTTTGTCAATGTATGACAATTCCATTATTGCCATGTGACTTGTGCAAAAAATCATTATTTGCTTTTGATGCCATGATAGCAGAAAACCTGGTTGAGATTTAAGACTGTATTCTGTCAACTATTGTATGAGTGCTGGATGGGGATGAATTTCATTCACATTTTTTATGTATGGTGGTTGAGATGTTGTTATATTGATCCATAGTCTTTGTTTTGAATAAGAATTGAGAAGTGCAAGTAATTTAAACTTTTGTTCATGGTTTTTTGTCATCTCTTGAGCAGTTCCATATTGACTATTGTAATGAATTGAAGTGTATTCCAAGTCTAGAAGGACTTTTCAGAGTATCTAGAAGGGTGTCCTGAATTGAAGCGTATTCCAAATCTGGACGGACTTTTTAGAGTGAAAAGCATATTCCAAGTCAAGAAGGACTTTTCGCTCTCTGAAAAGTCTTTCTGGACTTGGAAAATGCTTCAATTTAGGACACCCTTCCAGATATAATTATTTGAGGCAGGTGGAGCTTGGTATGCCACTTATCACCCTGCAATTCTCAATCTTGGGTTCCTCCAGAGATGATAATCCACCAACCAGAAACCTTTTTAACTTACCACACCGACTAATGGATAATTCTTTGAGGGACATCAATGTAAGTATTGCCCCATCACCATCACCCAAACTAGTTAATTCATCACAATACTCAATATAGAGCTGCTCAAGAGATGATAATCCACTAATTGGAAAACCTTTTAACTTACCACACTGATTTATGGATAATTCTTTGAGAGACATCAGTGTAAGTACTGCTCCATCACCATCACCCAAGGTAGTCAGTTCATCACAATACTCAATATAGAGCTGCTCAAGAGATGAGAATCCACTAATCAAAAACTGACAGATATCAGTGCTTTGCTGTTAATTGAATCTCTGTGCAGGTTACAGGGAGGAGAGACAGAGCCAAACCTTTGCCATTTAGGTTAAAGGATAGTGGCCCCTGGGGCTTTGCTGGGGCAAATGATGGAAATCCACGAATCAGTGCTAAATTTGTTGCTCCTTGTTATTATATGAACAAGTATGGTCAAGACCATGAGAGTATCATCTTTCTAAGATATAATTGAGTTTTGTAATTGTTCAGTCACCATATTTTTCCTTCCAAATTCATCATACTAAAAATCATCTTTCCTTGCAGAATAGAGATAGACACAAAGCTTCCTATTGTTGGTGATCAGAAATGGAAGATATGGATATGTTCACTCAACATACCAATGGCACCTGGGAAGACCCGTTCTATTGTTTGTAGTGCTCGTAACTTCTTCCAGTTCAGCATGCCTGGGCCTGCATGGTGGCAGGTAAGTACTTTTCCATTCATGTTAGCTATAATAAGAAGATTAGTAAGTCCAACACTAAAATATAACCATTCTTTAGTTGATTCATGATCCTGGTGATGGAGGAATTGGTCACTCACCTCATTCGTGGCTGCATGTTGTTAGGTTGTTCCTCGATGGTTTGAGCATTGGACTTCAAATAAGGTCTATGATGGAGACATGATTGTGCTTCAAGGCCAAGAGAAGATCTTCCTTTCCAAGTGCATGGAGGGTTCTGATGATGTTAATAAGCAGTACACACAGATCACATTCACTCCCACCCAAGCAGATCGCCTTGTCCTTGCATTTCGAAATTGGCTGAGACGTCATGGCAACAGCGAACCCGAATGGTTTGGCCTCAGCACCAACCAACCTCTGCCATCAACAGTTCTATCAAAATGGGAGGTATAAGAACTTACAGCCACTGCCATTTCTCATCACTACCTCACCAAGAGGACACCCATTAAAAAGGAAATGGCTTTGTTTGTGATTGTTTTTTCATTTTTATTTCAGATGTTGGATCGATTTGAGCAACACACTATGAAATGCTCATCATGCAAAGGAGCTTATGAAGCATTTCAGAGATGGCAAAAACTTCTCATCGGTTCAACCGTGGTATGCTGTGCAGCAGCTGGGATCCCCTCAGAGATACAATTCCGGGTAGTTTTAGCTGCACTAGCTATCATATGTGCTGCTTTTGCTTATACATTACATGAACTACAAAAGAACTTTGTTTTTGTTGATTATGTCCATGCTAAAATCGACTAGGGTATAGCTAAAAAGTTTCAAAACATCAATTTTTGAATGTTAGGACTTAGTGAAGAACACCTTTAAATGACATATACATGCTTTGAAGCACTTTCCTTTCTATTCTTAAGATTAATTTAAGCAAAAACTGAGTTCAATTTTAAGATACTAACCGAATTTTCATTTAAGCCCAAGAATTACATCAAAAAAGCAAAATGAACAGAACCTGAGAAACTAATACTAGTTTTTACAACTCAAAAACCCCCAATTTCAAACCACAGAAACCCTAGGAGCTAGTAAACTTGGTAACAGCCTTAGTACCCTCAGAGACAGCGTGCTTGGCCAATTCACCAGGCAGAACAAGTCGCACGGCCGTCTGGATCTCGCGCGAGGTGATAGTCGGCTTCTTGTTGTAGCGAGCAAGCCGAGATGCCTCCTGAGCAAGCTTCTCGAAGATATCATTGATGAAGCTGTTCATGATTCCCATAGCCTTGCTCGAGATCCCGATATCAGGATGCACCTGCTTCAGCACCTTGAAGATGTAGATCTTGTAAGTCTCAACGCTCTTCTTCGTCCGCTTCTTCTTCTTGTCTCCGGAACCGGCTTCCTTGGGAAGCTTCTTCTCAGCTCTCGGCTTTTTCTCCGCCGGTGCCTTCTCGGCCTTCTTCTCCTCCGCCGGCTTCTTCTCGGCGGGTTTCTTCTCTGCCTTGGGCGCCATTGGAAATTGAGAGGTCGTCCTGTGGAAGTTTCAGAGGAGATGAACGGATTGGAATGAGTGGATCTTGTTATCGTTTCAATTATATATAGAGAGAGTAATGAGATCTGATTGGTGGATACTGTTTTGCGCGGATTGATGACGTGGATGTCGAGGACCGTTGGATTCTGTGAATGGAAATGGACGGTAAGGATTTATTTTTAGTTAAGCGGGATTTTTGTTCGCGTAGATTTCAACTTAACGCCAAATTTTCAATTTTCGCGGCTTTTGAGGTAATCGAATCGCTGTCGAAAAAATCAAAACGTCAACCAGTTGTGCGCCTCCACGTGGCGCTCAGAAAATTTTTTTCATTACTTGCCCTTTCAAAAAACCTCAATGCATACGGTAGTGGAAAAGAATTTTTTTTTTTTGTTTAATTTATTTTTGGGTTCAACCCAATTGGAAAAAATAATAATTCTAACTAGATCCGATGTCTGTAGTCCATACTTTACCATTTACCAGGTTATATAACAGTTTTTCATTCTAATAATTCGTTAATCTTGTATTAATAAAAATTTTATTTTAACTTAACACTCACGAAAAAAGAAAAAAGAAAAAAAAAAAAAGAGGGTCTAGAGCCTTAACCCTTTTTTTTTTTTTTTAATGATAAAGTTATTGGCTTATGTCTTAGATCAATTTAATTATACACAACTGACTAAGTTCATTCCCTCTATAATTAACAAAGAAACACACAATGATTTACTTCCAAATTATATCTTTTTACAAGTATTAATTATGTCAAATTAAGATTAGTCAGGATCAAAGTCGACCAAAAAAAGAAAAAAAAAAGAGTTAAGTGAATCTAGTTAAAAAGGCTGCTTGATGATATTCTAGATGAGCAATATATATACAAAACAGTACACAGATGTGTATTCAATCTTTTTACCTCCGTTAAAATTCATGAGCGAGAGTTTTACCGTTCATAAGGTCCTATCTGACTCGAATCTGGATTAATCAGTGGTCTAATGAGTTTCTGGATACCAAATGATCATACCAAAAAAAAAAGAAAAAAAATCTCTTGACATAATTATAATAAGGTTGTAAATTAACCGGAACAAAATTGGTCGTGGATTATCTATAAAATCTAAATGAACTCTAGAGACCTTAATTATTAATTGAAACAGTTGGTAATTGGTATCATTGCAGATTAAGTAATTAAGATCACTACATTGCATGCATATAAGTACATCAAATTATTGAGAAAATTGTTGGTGCGTGTGTATTCTAATTAAGTTTACCTATCATCTAACTGTATGAGGTTGCTTGTTGATCTAATCTCCCTGCAGCAATTTTGGTCGAAGTAATCACGGGAGTATGCCCAACAAACAAAGCAACATGACCCATCAGCTTATCCTTTCTGGAAAAAGTAGTACCACAAGAACACTGCCATTTCAGGTCACCACAGTGCTTCTCATGAGTCCTGAGGTCCGACAGCACCGAGAATTGCTTCCTGTTACACCTCTTGCATACGTACATCTTCGGGCAATGGCTCCTCTTGTAATGATTCTTCACACAAATCATGGACTTCAAAGGCTGGAACTTGGCATGCTTCTGATTCCACCTACACCCTTCTTGAGGACACGAATATTTCTTCGGTAATTTCAACGAGGCCTCCAATTTATCCAATCCTCCGGCGCCACCGCTGTTCTTCATGGGATTGGTGAGAGCCGCACTTGTTTTATATTCATCACCGTGAGCTCTCATGTGCATTCTCAAATTCGCGTCTCGCTTGAACCCTTTCCCACAAACTTGGCAGTAATGTGTGTACTTAGCCAACAAGTCAGCAGCATCCAATTCTATTATGTCGAAATTCTTGATCGAATTAACAGACGAACCCCCTCCATTTTCTTTCTTTTGTACCTTATTATGGCTAACCTGAATCCGGTTCCGGCCGGTGTTGCAATTTTCCGCATACCAATTTACAGTTTGTGGATGATGATCAGTAGTATACAACCCGGTCTGATGAGATGATCTCTCCTGATGAACAATATTTCCAACATCGCCGAAGTGTTGAGAATTAGACAAGCCGGAATTATCATGGTTAGGAACCCTAACATGCTGTGCCTGGTGCAATTCATTGGTGGTGCTATTGCTATTATTACCTGCTGCAGGAGTTGAAATCTGTTGGCAGGTGAGCAGGATGGATGATGCAGCCATGATGAGTTCCTGAACGAACGAACTCATGCTGGCTATGGCCATAGACGCTGACTCAGGCTGCTGGGCTTGATGATCTGGAGATATGAGGATGTTCACCAGAGAATGAACTTGGTGGACTTTTTCTTTCATGACGGAGAGGTTGTAGAGGAGAGAAGCTGATGTCTGCGTCTCCACTACTGCCCCACCGGAGCTTCCATCCAGGGAAGAAGAAACAGCATGATCTTCCGCCACTGGATACATCTGTAGAGGAGGGAAACACGAATTGGCACCTGAATTAATCATTTTTTCAGAATCTTGGAAAATAATGATATGAGGAAAGGATTGTTTTTTTCTATCTTATTTGGAAGGGTTGTATGCATATGAATCATCAGAGTTGTTATATAGGGAAGAGAAATTGTTCAGGCTTCAAACATAACCATATCTAGAGCTGCAAGTCAACTTGGAGATTTCTGTTAAGTCCATCCCCACATATTACCTCCCTTGCGTATCACCTATATCCTAACTCAAATGACAACACCTCAATAAAGAAAGAGAAATTAATAATTAATTAATTAATTAAAAAATTAGAAAATTAATTAATGATTTAATTTTGAAAATAAAGAATAGAAAAACAATCAAACGAAACTAGGGTTAATTTCATCTATCGTCCCTCTACTATAAAAAATAGTGCAATCTAAACCTTCTACTATGGATCGGCTTCATATCGTCCCTCTACTATCAATTAACTCCACCTGTCGTCCCTCTACAATGCTAAAACATGTTAATATCGTCCCTCCGTCCAATGCAAGCTAATGGTACTGTTTATTGACAGTTAAGTGCAACGGTCACACCGGTTAAGTCTTTTTAAAATTTTTTTTGCCACCTTACCTTGTGACCCCTACCCTTGCCACATCATCTCCAATCGGTACGACACTTTTTCATTAGATAAAGTAGCTATTTGCTACATTCATGGAACAACCATAATCTAGTCATACGGTGAACTCCACCAAA